GAGGAGGAGCAGCATCTAGGAGGCAAAGGTCTGAGAGGAGGAACAGCATCTAGGAGGCAGAGGTCTGGGAGGAGCAGCAGCAGGAAGTGGCTGAGGATAAAGGGGTCAGACTAAACGGGTCAGAATCAGAAAGGTTCTACTGACCCATGGTGACGTAGGGCAGCTTATCCGTAGAGCCGTGAGGGTAGATGCTGTACAGGTGAGGTCCGTTACAGTCCACTCCGCCCAGAACCAGAGCAGCACCGATGTAACCCTGATACCTGCAGACACAGAGAGGGAACCGGTTCTGAAGCAGCAGATCTATCCCATCATGCTCCCTTCTTTCTCTGACCCGTCCAGCTCAGAGCTGCCGGCTTTAACAGAACCAGGACACCAACATGGCGGATCTGCTGCCTTTACTGAACCTCCAGAACCTGTTTGACACCAAACTCATCCTCCAGTGGTAAACATTCTGCTCCAATCAGGATTCATTAACAGCAGGAGCTCTGCTGCCCCCTGGTGGCTGAGCCACGGAGCAGTTCTGCAGACAGCCCTCAGGTCTTTCTGCTTCCGTCTTTGCGTCGTTTGTTGGCCTCAAATATTAGTGAGGCCAGTTTAAAAAAGAAACAAACACTAATAACAACCTGAGAGAAACAGCAAGGAAGAGAATTCAGTCTCTAATCTGACTGAACGTCTGCAGGAAACCAGGAAGAATCTGATCCAAGCTCCAGGCTCATGGCTGATCCGCTGCTAACCGATCCCAGGAGGAGGGATTCTGAAAACGTCCCATTTGACTCTAAAGCCGGTCATATGCTGAGAGATTTGTTTGCCCTTTTCGGGGCGACTTCTTGTTAAAATTTTTCGATGGGGCCGACTTTTAGCCTGATGGCGGGTGGTGTAGTGAGGCAATCAGCCTCTAACGACCTCCTCTATCAGGAATCTTAAGGTCGGGAGAATGAATCAATCATGTTTGAAAATCAGTCGGCCATCTTAAGGTGGTCGTGGACAAATCGCTCAGTCGGCAAACAAGGATTCTTCTTCCTCTCAGATGTAAACCCAGCAGCATGGCGGGGGGGGGGCAATGAGTGAAATGGAGTTCTTTCTGTCAATCTGTCAGACCGTAGTAGCCACGTTAGCTCAGCCATGTCTTTGTCCAAATCCGTCGTCTCCTTTTCTTTTTAGGGCTTTCAGCACTAAATTGCCCAAATATCCAAGGCAGAGCGTTTCACTCTAGTGAGCTTCATGTTCCTCTGCTACTGGTTTGGCTTCCAGATAGACGAGTCCCAGTAGCGCCATCTCACAGCGGAGCTGAGTCCCACCTGGTTTTTAGACGTACAGTGAGAGCAGGTAGATCGCATCAGAGCGTCGGTCGCACAGCATCGTGTATTGTGAGCTGTGAAGTTTAAAACCCTGCAGTTTGATCGTACAGTTTGAGCTGTAGCTGCGTGCAACCATTGGAAATATCGTACAGTTTATGCCGCGCTTTAACAACTAAATAAAAAACAAACATCCAGGAAACTGAGATGTAACTAATATTCTGGCCACCTCCAGGGGGCGCCATGCTGAGCGGGATCACTGCTCTGCAGCATTTCAGCTCACTGTTTCTATTTCCATGTTTTCTAAAAACTTTGTTGGGCTGCTGGATAAAACCTGGAACTAAACGCTATTTCTGACAGTTTGAACTGAAAAATCTTCCTGGATGGAAGAGAAACGTCTTTAAACTTGGAAACAAAGTGGATTGATTTTAACTTTCTTTGAAGTTTCAGCTCATCGTCACCTTGGATCACAGGTTCCCTGTGTTTAAAACATCCACCTCATTTCAAAAAGAAAAATCCTCCTAAATGAATATGAAGCAGTTCTGACTGCATCTGTGATCAAGTATGATAAAGATTTATGAATTTTACTCTTTTCTTTAGTTCATCATACAAATATTATAGAACATAAACCAGTTTATTAAGACCATTATTATCTGTAGATCATTTCATGTTGGAGGAACTGGACTCCATCACTGAGATCTGTGGGAAAGAAGCTCCAAGGTTCAACTGGAATGGCCCAGACAGGGCTTCACATTCAAGATGGCCGCCATTAAACTGTCCTGTTTGGATGAAGCAGGTACGTTTAAAGGAGCAGCAATCAGAGACCTACCTGAAGAGCATCTGCTTCAGCATGCGGTTAGCGGTGGCGACGCGCGGCAGCCTGCCTGTGGAGAGCGCGTGCAGCTCCAGGTTGGACGAGATGATCTGGGTGGTCATCTCCGTGTCTGCAGCAGTTCCTGCTCCACAGCAGCTGCAAAACAGGCCTGAGTCAAACCTACATAGAAAAAACACCTAGATCCATCCTGACAGCTGACACTTACTAAATGTTGGGGGAGATGTAGTGGATCTTGGAGCAGTTTTTATCAGCGACCACCATTCCCTCAGTGGCTCTGGTGTCGGCGCCGAGGACGACGCCGTCCTAAACAGGAAGTCACAACAAACACTTTAGAATCTGTTTCTCTCCTGTTGTTCTAAGCGACATGAAGCAATTCCTCTGAGGTCCGTCAAATCAGATCAGCAATAAAGCTCAGCAGGGTTAGACCAATCATTCCTTTTATTGGAGGACAGAAATCTGCCCATCGTTGATAGGAAGGAGGCAGGGAAGCCTCCTTTGTTCAACTTTACAGTAATAAGGAAAAACAGCAGAGGTTTTTATCTTAGCGACGGCAGAAAACCATCTGAAACAAACGTTCAATCAAACATCTAAATCTGCTGGGAGTCCAGATCCAGTCCCTGATCCAGATCCTGGATCTGTTTTTTTCAGGGACGTGGAGCTGAACTTGGCTACGAGCTGATTGGTGCGATTCTGATTGAAAGTCCTGATGGACCGGGCCCAGTCAGGTCCCAGTCCGGGGTCCAGTCAGCTCCGGGTCCAGTCAGGTCCCAGTCCGGGGTCCAGTCAGCTCCGGGTCCAGTCAGGTCCCAGTCCGGGGTCCAGTCAGCTCCGGGTCCAGTCAGGTCCCAGTCCGGGGTCCAGTCAGCTCCGGGTCCAGTCAGGTCCCAGTCCGGGGTCCAGTCAGGTCCAGTTTCTGTCACCAACCTTGAAGACGATGCCACAGATGGTGGTTCCGGTTTTCCGAGCAGCAGGCAAACTGCATCCCAGTTTACCGGCTTCACCTTCTAGAAGCACATTTCTGGAATCAGAGAGATTAAGTTTTATTTTTAGTGTGGGTAACTGCATTAATAACATTTCACACATTAAAACACATTTAAAGGAAGGAATCCTCAGATATTTGATCCAATTCTAACCTTAAACCAGAGGATCTATAGTAGATCTGCAGCCAGACTGATCGCCTTTCATTCAATATTCAATTTTTAAAATAATATAAACAGCAAATCGCGGAAATAATTTGGGCTTAATTCGTTTGTAATAAAAACAATAAATGAAACTAATTTATTTCACATCAGAGAAGTAAAAGCCGGAGGAAGAAATGAGCGAGCGGCCGGAAACCCTGAGTCATTGTAGGGATCATCACTGAGCTAGCATCCTTTAGCTAAGCTAAGCTATGCTAAGCTAAAGGAAGCTAAACTGTTCCGATGGAAACTTTAACAACTCGTTCATCGGGACAGCAGGTCTCTGACCGGACAGCCAGAATAACTCTTTACCTTCGGCAGTTTTCGAAACTGAAACCCGCGAGAGGAGCTCTGCTCACTGCCAACGTCGCCATCTTGGATGAAGGTTTGTGTTTCCGGGAAGTGGAGGAAGGAGCTCAGGAGAGATGCGGCATTTAAGGACCGCTGGCAGGGTGGGGAAAAACAGACCCTCCGACACTACATCAGTTAGAAAACACAACTTATCGGTTTTATTTCACGCTTTATTTATCAAAACTGACTAAACCTATCTATCTATCTATCTATCTATCTATCTATCTATCTATCTATCTATCTATCTATCTATCTATCTATCTATCTATCTATCTA